CGTCTGATTTGGTTCCTGCTGAGACTGATTTTCGCGTATTTTGGGAAGAAGGTAACATCCCAGGAATAGACTTAGCAAATTATATGAATGGACAGGTCTGTTGAGTTGTCAGTCCCTTTTAATTAGTCGATGCTAAAGGGAAATATAGACTTATCATACACCTCGTGACGCAACAGATAGAGTTACACTGGAGACTTTACAGCATATGGGTGAAACAGCTTATAGTTTGTTGTTGGAGTTGGCAGTAAAAAGCAATGTAATTGATGATGCACAAAATGATATAAAGATGCAAAATGAAGTGAGTGTATTTTTTTTGATACAGGAATAATCGTCTGATGATGTCAATTTTCTGTGAATATGTTGATGAGTAGAGAGTAATTTTTCATGACTTATTGGGTCTCTATACCTTTATCTATTCAGAGTATATGGGGAATATTATGTTTTGGTTAGTTTGGTTGATAAGTATATGTCTTTGCATAAGAACCGTCCAAAGCTACATCGGTTGGGACATCTTTTTTCACTGTTTATTGAACATCTGGATAAGTATTTTCGTTGCATTTACGGCTGCCTTATTTCTAGGCTATTTGCTAAGTGTTTCCTATACCAGAGCAATGGTTTGGTATCATCGAAACTCGGTAGCCTATTTCATTTTTGCACCATTGATGACTTGTGTTTTTTTATATCTACTGAATAACCGAAGTGAAATGACAGTTGCTGCTAACAAGTTGAAGAAAGATAAAGAAGAAGAGGAATATTTGTCTGTTATTTCCAAGTTGACCAGGCAAAGACAAAGCGAAGCATTTATAGTCGTGCATATTTTCATGGAATGGATTATTTTGTCATGCTTACTCTATTTCCGTCTTTCCTCTGTGTATCTTTATGCATGGTCAGTTATAGGTGGTTGTTTGGCGATGCAATTGTCTTTACGTTGGAGTAGTCGTTTTGTGTGCCTTTATATTCCGATTGCTCTTTTGAAAGGACCCGTTTTTTGGTTGGCAGCGAATGTCTTCCTTCCCATCATGGGAAGAGCAGGAGTAGATGTTATGGGAGATATTGTGGCTTCCATTTTTGTAGCACTTGTTTGGATTCCGTGTATTCTCATTCCGCTTACACCAACATGGTCAAAGTATCCAAAGTTCCGGAATTATTGTTATTACCTCTCTATTTTTGTGACTTTATCGAGCATGCTTGCATTGTTGTTGGGTGTCTTTCATCCATATGATGGGATGAATGCTCCCAAACGTGTCATTTATCACCATATGATGATATCTGAAAAACAAAGAGTCAAAAATGCCTTGTTTATATCCTCCATGGATCGTAGAGATATAGTTGATGCTTCCTACTCGGATGTTTTGGTAGAAAATGCAAAAGATTCGAATAGTTTCCGATGGGGTTGGTTTTCTCATGGTCCTTGGGAAAATATTGAACCTTTGGGAAAGACTTGTCATGGAGTGTTTGTGGAAGATTCTGTCAGCGACCATGATGTACCGAAGCCGTCAGTTAAGGTTTTGGAACAAGTGACCAATGAACAGGGTCGTGAGTTGTTGCTAGAGTTTTCCTTTCTTCAAGCACATTGGGGAAGTATTCGTTGGAATGCGTCTTTGTACAAATGGTCTCTGGAAGATAGACTTCCACAACCTCTTGAAGATGGAACTGTATACATAAGACATATTGGTGCTCATGATTCACGAAAATTTACAGTAAGACTATATTCAACAAACAAGGATGCTATTGCTATGGATTTGACAAGTACTCATTTTGGCGCGCATTCCCAGATGATGCCTTATTTAGAATCTTTACCAAATTGGGTAATTGGTATTTGTTTTCGGTCTCATGCCGCCAGTTTCCTCGTTTGAAGAAGAATTCAAGTTACCGTCGTCTGTAGTCAAGAGAATAATAAAGAATAGTTTAGAAAGATATCACCGTCAGGTTCCTATTGAAAAGGATGCTTTACTAGCTTGCTCTGCTTCTTCTACGGTGTGGATAACATATTTAACGGCTATGTAAGTTTCTCGAGAAAACACGAACAACAAGTTGAACCCAGTGTATGTATATAGAGCTACGGAAGTTATGAAAGAACGGAAGCGTTCCACACTGTCCGTAGAAGATATCTTTACTGCGCTTGTTGAAGTGGATTTTGGAGACTTTGTAGACCCTTTGAAACAGTTTTTACAGGGTAAGAACAGTTCTGTGAACTCTGTTCTGGCACACTGATTGGTAGTATATTAGAATATAAAGAACAACAGTCAAGGAAAAAGGAAGCGAAATGGGAACAGAGGCAAGCCGCACGGGGAATGTTTCAAGTCCCTGAAGGAGAAGCTTTGGATATCACAGCTGAAACTAGAGATCCTTCGGATATTCCTTTTTTTGAACGAGCGTCTTCTTCCACCGGCGTTATGACAACCTTGAGTTCGGAACCAATGGTGAATTATGTTTCTCATTATGAACAACAACAAAGATACATAGATAATGAAATGCAAGAAGACAAACCAAAACAAACTTCAATCGAGTCACTACTCAACTAGCGTTGGATTACGAAGGGGTACGAGATTATTTCAGGTTGAAAGTATTACAAATGAGTTGCTTGATTTCTTTTCTTTTTTCAAGGAGTTGGTTAGAACTTAGGCTTCGATACAAACACGAAGTAGATGGAGGACCAGAGAATTGTACGAAGAGTTCCTGAGAGACAATGAGGTCTTCGAAATAAGTTTTCAACTGAAAAGTTTGTGCCTTACCATGATTTGTAAAACGTAAATACCACAGTCATAATTATTGGTTTGTGTTGGAACGGTTTCCACAGAATATGTACAAGTATTAGAATCCAGGTCTAATAGCGTTAACAGTTTATCCGCGAAAGCTTTGGCATTTTTGGAAGGTGCCTTATGTAATGAATCATATTCCATGAAGTGCTTTTTGCTAGGAATAAAAGCCAAAAGTGTCCTAGAGAACAAGCTCACTCGCGTTTCTGTAATTTGATAATAGTCAAACAAACCAGTGCGAACCAGTCAAAGGAGTATTAGGACTATACAATGAGTCACTATCGCTCATCGGGAACAAAATATAATCGCTTTCTTTCCAAGTAATGTTCTTCGAAGCTTCCTTACAATCTTTCCAATCTAATAGCAGAAACAAGGAAAGTTTCTGATTGAATTGCATAAAGTAAAGGATAGCAAAAAACCAACCACTACAGTATAATAACCAAAAGACCAAGGAGGGATCCACACAAAACACTTTACGGTTTGTATCACTTTCTCGTTCCTTATCCTTGGTACGTTGGTTGTTCAGATATTCTGCATAGAATGAGATAATTCTATCGTTTATCCAATTGGGAACATCCAACAACTTCAAGTCTCCTTTATAAACAGTAATGTTTCCATAACTTGGACTCAAGGGCTTCTCATCATCGTCTTCCATCATTCTTTGAAAATGAGATGGAACATTTGGAAGATGATGAAGCAACAAGGAGTCTTTTACAGGGTTTTCGAGCTGTTGCAATACCTTTGAAGAAGACAGAAGATTCAACTTGTGAAGTTTTTCGTTGGATCTATTTGAAGAAACAACGTCGTAAGCTTGATGAATCTCTCACCGGTTTGGAAACCTCTTTTTTATTTATCGCGAATCTGCCTTTTTTTGTGACGGAGCGACAGCTGACAAGTGTTTTGGAACAGTATGGGAAAGTAAATCGTACAGTATTCGGAAGTTTGCCTGAAAGTGAAGGATATTCTAAGCATGCATCTGTGTTTTTTTCGGATGAGAATAGTATTGAACTAGTTTTGAGAGCTCCATTAGATTTTTCGGCATGTTTGGCTGACGAAAAAGTCGAAGATGTTATTACTGGGAAGTTGAAAGAGTACCAAAAGTGGCGTTGTAATCCCCGTATGTTAGCACAACATGTGGACGAGGTTTTATTTCGGCACCGTGAGAAACGTGAAAAGGAAGAACAGGAATTGAAGTATAGGCAAACCGTTCCAGACGAAGACGGGTTTATACTTGTGGGTGCGAGAAATACAAGCAAAAAGAGTTTTGCGAACGTGAAAAAGAGAGCCCCATTGAGAGTTGCAGAATCTTCGCTAAAGCCAAAGGAAGGCTTCTATAAGATTCGCAGTAGGAAACAACAACGGAAGCTTGAACGAGAGCGACAAAGTGACCTTCATTGACTTTCGTTCGTGAAGAAACCAAGTATTGATGTGAAAAGTCTATTTTTTTTATTATGATAACATAGGAAACTTTGGATGATGATTGATAAAGAATATATTCTCACAATGAATTATATGCTTACGATATTTGACAATTATCACGAACTGTGTTGAAGTAGTTGTGGGACAATCAATTTTTGAGAATGGCAAGAAGAGGCGGTGGTGGTGGCGCTGCTTCAAGAAGAACTCCTTTAAGGTCAAAAGCTCCTCTTTTCGCAAGAAGAAAAGAAGAAAGGTCTGGTTCAAGTACAAAACAGTCTTCTCGTGGCGCTTCTTCCTTGGCAAAACCTGTCGTGAAAAATAATAGTAGTAACACTGGGGGTCAAAAGGATAAAGCAAACCAGACTACCCCAGGAATGACTCCCACTTCTAAACCTAGTTTGACTTCCTCGCTTTTTGGGGGAATGCTTGGTAGTATGCTTCCCATGTTTTTGTTTATGAATTGGTTTAGAAAGAGTCCGGAAGAAAGAGAACCAGATAAAGGTATTACACTAGTACTTGCTATACTAGTTTTTTAACAGTTTTTTAGTTGAAAATGAAGCACAGAACAAATGTCAGAAACTTGCATGCAACATCCAGGACTGTTTGGAGAAGAACGACTATCAACAAAGTATGTGTGAAGAAGCGATAAGGAAATATCACGCTTGTATGGAAGCTGCCAAAGGGAACTATGAAAATTTGTAAGATATTATTTGTTTGTATATTCAAGTAAACACAAGTGTTTTATTTTCAACCCAAGTATTGTTTATTATAGAGGGGTAACAAAAGTGAGACAGAATATCTTCGAGTTTCAAACGCGTTTTTGTTTGAATGATATTTCCTGAGAAAGTTGTTCCATTCACATAGTTGTTGAATTGGGCAATTGAGCCACCATGTTTCTATTTGTTCCTCTTAGTAGTCCAATGTTTAGACTTTTGAAAAGGAACCGAATTGTACTACAGTCATTGAAGTGCTATCGTTGTGAGTTGGTTGTCCGTCCAAAAAACTTTTCCACCTTCAACTGTCAGTCAAACTTACCTTCCGTTGAGAAGGTTGCTGTCTTATATTCTGATCAGTTTCAACTTCACCAACCTCCTAATGGAACAAGACATCCAGAGTGTCCAGGGAGAGTTACAACGACTATGCGACATTTAGAAAGCTCCCCCATATTTTCGAGTTTGCAGTTGTTGCCTTTTGAAGATGAACCCTGCGATGACACTTGGTTGAAGAAAAGGATTTTGAGTATCCATTCTGTAGGATATTTGGAAGATTTGGAAAGGTGGATTAACCAGGGAGCAAAGTCTCTCGATGCAGACACTTATCTTTGTGACAAGTCGTTGGAAGTAAGCAGGTTGGCTGTTAGAGCTTGGCTAAAGGCTACCCAATATAGCTTTGAATATTCTCAGCCTTCTTTTGTACTTGCGCGACCTCCTGGTCACCATGCCACTCCCTTTACTGGAATGGGATTCTGTATTTTTTCAAATCTTGCCATTGCAGCAAAGTATGCTATGGAGGAACTCGGTGTTAGCCGAGTAAGTATTCTTGACTGGGACGTACACCACGGAAATGGAACTGCTTCTTGTTTTCAAAGGGATGAACGAGTTAGGTTTGTTTCCTTGCATCAGTTTCCATTTTATCCCATGACTGGAGCTCCAAGTGAAAGAGGTCCACTTGGAAACTTGCTGAATATTGCTTTTGAGGCAGGTGCTGATGGGTCTGAGTTTGTAAAACGACTAGAAGAAGAAGCTATTCCTTTCTTATCACAACATAAACCGGACATTGTCTTTGTGTCTGCTGGATATGATGCGTTAAAAATGGACCCTTTGGGTGGCTTATGTCTCGTACCTGACGACTACTTTGAAATGACTCGAATAGTAATGTCTTCCTTTGGTCATGAAAGAATAGTATTTGGATTGGAAGGTGGCTATCATTTAGAAGAAACTGCAAAAGCTATCGAAAAAACATTGCACGGCATTTTACATAGATGCATCTAGTGAAGTTGAGTTTCTTTCTGCTATCTACAGTTTGTATTTGAATGTTAGTTGATGTAAAAGTAGAATATTTGGGAGGATGGACAATTCCTTAGAATGTCATGAGACTAGTCTACAATTTGTAAGATGTAATAAAATACAATTTATCAGTAATGGTAACATATGATGATGGTTATAGTACTTTCAACTGCTTGGGATTCTTCACGTCTTCTTTGTATTATATTCGATATAAACAACCGAAGACGGAAATCACTTGGAGGGTGAAATCTATTGAAAGAAAAAGAGTGTGTTTCGGTAGCCGTACTTTGAGTGGAAACCAAAGAGTCCAACTTGGAGCACCTCGGAATTTAGCAACTGGACATCGTTTCTCGTTGCGTTGTTGCTCAGCTCCTAATTCAGAAAACTTTCGTGTTTCTGCACAAACAGAGAGAAGTAACTCTTTTATATGGTCTTCAGCTGTTTCCGTAAAGGCTGATTTGACCCAAGCACTTGCAGACGTAATTGCAAGAGCGATCGTAAGTAACAAAGAGGAAAGAATACTCATACTGTTGTTGACGATTGATGACATAGTCCAAGTTTCCAAATGGAAGAACTGTCGATCTTGCCTTGTTGTTTGTCAGTTCGCGATATACTTCCAAGCGTTTGGGAATCCTTTCAAGAGGTGACCTCGAAGCTATGATTCCACACCTTCGTGGTATTATTCCGAGTTTGCAAGTGATTGTGGGTTGTACTTCAAGTGGAATGGTTGGCCACGATGTTAGAGGGGAGCCTGAAGAAGTTGAAGGAGCTCCAGCTGTTAGTCTTTTACTGGCATCTCTTCCTGACGTTGAGCTCATCCCTTTTCATATTGATGCTAGTCAGATTCCCGATCTGGATAGTGGACCGGATCGTTGGTTAGACCTGGTAAACAGAGGAAACCGTAGCGGTGTCGCTCCAGAAGATATTCGTGCGATGATTTTACTATCCGAGCCCCACTTTTGTCAACAAGGCTATTTGCATAACTTATTGCAAGGTCTGGATTTTGTTTATCCTCAGTGTAGTAAAGTGGGTACGGTTGCCTGTAGTAGAAGCTTGAATGAAAGAGTACAGTTAATCTATTCTACTTTGGCTTTTGAGAATATGCCTATTCATGAAGAAGGAGTTGTGGGAATTGCTTTGGCTGGAAAGGTTCGCATGGATGTGATAACTATTCCTAGTTATCGCCAGATAGGTCCTAACATGGTTATTCGTAAATGTGATAAGCAGTGTATTATAGAATTGAGCCAAGATTCGTCACCCAATGTTTTCGGTTCGGTAGAACGGATGCTTCAACAATATGTGGATCGTCTTTCACCGAAAGATAAAGAGTTGGCTGGTGGAAATGTTTTCCTTGGTTTGAATCAATCCTCAGATGGTGATATAGATTCATGGAGAAATTATATCGTTCGAAAGATTGAGGAGCCTTTCCATATCAATGGATCGTTAAAGACCTCAGAGGCAGTCTATGTAGGACAACGAGTAGGATTCTTCATTCGTGATTATGACTTTGCAGTACAACAAGCTGGTCATTTATTTGAGTCATTTAAACGACAACAGTTGACGAGTAATATTGAAGGCTCTGGTCCCTTCGCTACTGCTGGTATTGCATTTTTATCTCATACAAAGGGAATGGAGTTTTATCGGATTCCTAATTATGAGTCTACATTGTTTCATTCATTTATGAATGGTTAGTTTGTCATAGTGGAGACCACATTTAGCTTACTATTTTTTTTTCTAGTGCCTTTAGTTGGAGTTTTTGGTGGTAAGGAAATAGCATCAAATGAGTTACGAGATGAAACACTTGTATATGAATACACTTCGGTATTTGGAATATTGGAAGAGATGTGTTAGTTGTGTCGATTCCTTTTTGTAAAAGTTATTATTTGGGGAACAGTGGGTTCGCATATAGTGAATGGAAGAGGATAACGAAAACTATGCGGGTTTTAAAGATGGATGATACGGATGGAAATAAAAATGGATGAATTTATAGAGAAACCCTAAATATACCACTGAGTCAAAGCTGTACAACTGATACGTAACAGTTACTTCAAAATGAGTTGCTCAAATCAATTCTTTGGAAGGGGCTCTTTCTGGTACATTACCTAATTGAAATAAGGAGGCACGATAATATTGCATATCTTCTTGACTCAGTTTTGTATCACTTTTCTCTACCGAAGAAATATTGTTTGAAGTTATCTGATGAGTGCTATCGATAAAAGTTGGAAGACTCGGTTGTTTCAATTCTAATGAAGTGTCGGCTAAATTGTTTGACTTTTCAGTCTGTGAACTCACATTCGCGTTTTCATTGGTTTGAGGAAAATCCTGAAACAAGTTTGAATATCCACTACCAGAAGAATTCGGAACAGAAAATATTGACATACCGCCTTGACTGTTCAAATGGGAACCAAAAGTATTACTGGTTTGAAATGGATGGCTATTTGGGTTTTCAGTTGTTGTCCTTCCAAAAGGATCTTTTGGAACAATTCCAGTTGCAATATTTGGATTCGCTGTCTTGGAAAATTGTGACGGATGCCTATTTCTATATTCTGTTGCAAGGTCTCTCTCTCTTTGCACAATCTCATTCAAGCCAATTCCTTGCAACGCAGCAGCATATGCTTCTGTCCTCAATTCTTCGAAAGAAATGTCACCATCCAATATATTCGGATTTTCCTCTATACCATAACAAGTGAAAGGCCACGACACTTCCATCCAATCATTATCCGCCTCTTTTGTCCAATTACCACTATTCTGCAAAGCATGCTCTTGATAGCTGGCTCTTCCTCTACCCCTCTGATAAGTCACTCTGCCACGACCTCTTGCGTCTTCGTTAAAAGAAGAAACGTCCATAGCTACGTTGCTTCGTTGATGGCGGTAGAAACCATTGCCAGAAGCTTTGGAAGACGAACGAAAAGGGTCTTGACTCATTCCTTGTCCAACATAGTCCTTACTTTTAAAGTTTCCAAAACTATTTGAAAAAGGCGACTGCACTTTTCTTGCTTGAAAAGGATCACTCCATTCTCCTGGTCCCTTTTTCGAAAAACCAAAACTGCCTTGGGAAGAATTCTGCATTGGATGTTCGTTCTTACAGTTTCTACCGAACTTGCAGTTCCCTCGAAGAAAATATTTGCACACAACCATTTTCTTTGATAGTTACTGGTTTCTATTCCTAAACCTTGAACTAGTCACTGAACAACGACTCACGCGGTGACGTCATTGCGCAATCTGAGAAATGACAATTGCGTTCTTGTCACTTGCCGTGGTATGGAAGACTCGTTTCCACAAGAAGAATGAGTTGAAAGACAAAAAGATTGGAATCAAATTGCAGAAGCAGCGTTATATTTGTCGTTATACTGATAAAGAACAAAGACTATATGTTGTTTGTTGCCATAGGCAGAGTTTCACTGAGAGGAAGGAGCAACCCGAACTGTCTTTGAGAGAAATCCTTCCGAATAGTTTTGTTTTAAGAGGAGATGCCGTGGAAGAAGAAGAAAAGCTTGAGACTAACGATGTGGAGTGGCGGTTTCTTGATCGTTGTCGAATATTTGTGAAAGGTGGAAATGGCGGTAATGGTTGTGTGGCTTTTCGAAGGGAAAAGAGTGTACCGAGGGGAGGTCCAGCTGGTGGAAACGGCGGTCGTGGCGGTCACATTTTTCTTGTAGCTAGTAATGGAGACAAAACTTTGGCGAGATATCGAAATCATGTTCATTTTGAAGCTTCTACGGGGAAGAATGGCTGGGAAAGAATTGTCACGGAAAAAATGCAAAGACTTGAAATTAGTGACG